ATGTCGCGCATTTGGATCTGGGGGCGGGGTTTTGCAGTGGGGAGGGGTTGGGTGGTGGGTGGGATGCATGACGGCATGCGGGTCGGGGTGCTGAGAGCTGCGTTGCACTGGTTGCTTGCTGTCCGTGGCCCACCGCCACCGCCGCTGCCTTCCTCGCCCGCCCGCCAGTGCTGCTGCCGCTGCGTCCGCAGCTCCCACTGCAAGGCACTTTCGTGCCAGCCCTGCCGCCCCACCCCTCCCTGCCTCCAGGTCGCCCAGGTCGCTCAGATCACCCAGATCGCCGCCAGATCACCTGCAGCATGGCCAGGTCCCTGAGGATCTGCTGGTTCTCCTTGTCGATGCGCAGCGCATTGAGGTAGCACTTGATGGCCTCAGGGTAATTGCTGTCACTGCGGTACAGCAGGCTGCGGGCGGCGACAAAGGGCGGTACAAACGGGAGCGAGGGGTCCAGCGGATGAGATGGGGGTGGCGCAGCGGCGCACGCCGCTGGTGCGGAAGATAAGGGATGGGGGGCGGGACGGATGCTGCGCCCACGGGATGGGTCTGGCCGCGTGAGCGCCCCCGGCGCCCTGCGGGAGGGGGGGCTGGCGGGCCCACGTGCGCCCGCCGCGCACGCGCGTAGCCGTAGCCACGGGGCTGCAGTTTGCGCCCGGCCTCCCCGCCCCCTCGCCACATACCAACCTCCTCCCGCCCGCCTCCCACCGCGCCGCACACCCTCGGCCGACCGCGGGCCGTCTCCGCACCCGCCCAATCTTTCGCCGGCCGCGTCCCTCACTGCCGCACACCCCCTTCTTGCACCCCTCCCCTGCACGCTGACACTCCCCCCTCCCCCTTCCTCCCACCCAGACTCCGATATGATGCTCACCCATACACGTGCCAGCAGACGTGAGACTTGAGGTCGCACCGCAGCCCCTTGCGCACCAGGTCGTACGCCTCCTCCTTCTTGTCCATGTAATTCAGGGTCAGGCCCTTCATGGCCAGGGTCTCCCCATGATCCGGGAACTTTTTGAGGATCTGGTCGCACGCCTTGATCGCCTTCTTGTACTGCTTGCTCTCGTAGAGCTTCACGACGGATCTGGGTGGCCGGGGATGGGGGCGGCAGCAGAGGCGCGCGGTTCGCACGGATGACCCGGGGGGCCGCGCGCAGAGGCGGCGCGGAGTCTAGCAGTCAGGGCTGCGGATGTGTTCTGGCGCGGCGCAGCGGCGCGCACCGACGAGCGGGCGGCGCGGGGCACAGTGACGGCAATGGGCAGACTGCGAATCTGCGCAGCCGCAACACTGCAGCTGGCCCACCAACGCCTGACGTTTGAAAGATAGAAGACGTAATGTCTCATTACGCACCTGAACAGCTGCTGCTCCTTCGCGGGCAGGGGCTGGTTCCCTGAGCCGCTCATCCTGCCGAATGCGGAGTCCTTGGACGCGGCTTCCTTCTCAAATCGATAGCAGGGCGCGCCTGTTGCCGCCACCCGAAGGCCCCCTGTCTAAGATCGGTCTGATCTTGGAAGTGCCGGCGCAGGGCAGTGACCGTTGATTAGCACTCCGCTCAATTGCGACGCAGAGCGGAAAAGGCAGATGACTCTACGGAATTGGCTTGTGACTGGCCACCGCTCGTGCACGCGCGGGCGCGTCCGCTGCGTCGCCGCTCGCGGGGCTCCATTGCTGCCCAGGAGTGTGTGCGGAGGCGGGCTCGGCGAGATGTGAATAGGTCGGGAAATCAGGGGTTCACTTGCCTGCCGACCGGCTTGCCGAACTCCGCCTACTGGCTTTCCTGCGCCGCGGACTCGTGTTGACGTCATCTGACTCAACTGTGAATGATGCCGAGTGAGTGTCGCACGTGTCAGCCTGCTTGCGCCCCAATCAAAAGCATCTGTGTGGTGGAGCAAGCACAGACGAGCAGGGGCCAGTTAGCCGGCACTGGCCGCAAACGGTCCGTTCATCACCTACTTGTGTCCATTCCTTGCGGCCAACACATCATCAAACATGCTTGTTTTAGGGGTCTGCAACCCTACAAGCAGGCCTGGTGCCACCAAATGATGCGCAATTCTCAACCATTGACCCATGCAGCTGCTATACTGCCGTAACTTCCTGTGCACGGGTGCAAAGGCCGAGCTGCATATGTGCACTCATGCACTGCTACCAGTCCCTTAGCGTATAACACACCTCCATCGCATCCAATGGCAGGTGGACAGAATACGACAACACTGTACAGCGAACTACACAGGTGCTGCAGTCGTCCTAGCCGTTTGGTGGCAGGATGCAAATACAGCTGCCCGCTGCCGTTTACCCTTTACAACAGAAAACGCTCGCACACTGCGGCAAACACCTCAGCCGAGTAACTGGCTCGTCCCATGCCCCATCGGGCCGCTTTGCGGGCCGCAGCACGGCATAGGCTGCCACCGTAGGGTTGGCCACCATTATCAGCAGCCAATAACACAGGTCGTGGCGGGGGAAGAGCGGAAGACTCTGGGTACAGCAACTTCTAAGCCCGGCAGGTCGTCAACGCCGACACTCACGTTGTCGTGACGTAGGTCTGACGCAGCTGCCCAGCGCGCCGCCTGCTCTGCGCTTGGCCGTACTCTGCCAACTGCTGCGTGTTCTGGAACGAACTTGAGTTGCGTGCACGATGCAGAGACATGGGAAGGCGGAGCAAGTAACGGTGATGAACGGCCATCACCAAGAAAACCAACGAGGCAACTGCTTGACACAGCAAACACAACGCTTTCAAGGTCAACCCAAGTGTCAATCAAAGCAGTGTCCAATGATCAATGGCACCTGTGTGGGATCGAAGCCTGGGCGGGTGATGAGGCGCAAGAGGCCGCTGCGCTGCGGCCCTGGCACATTCTGAAGAACAGCATGCAACTCGCTCGGTGCTTTGGCTGTGGGCTGCTGCCTCCTCCTCCACACCATCCCAGTAGCCTCCGCTGCTGACGCCCCCTGTGTCGCAGCAGTTCTCGTGCAGCAACCCATCCCACGCCCCGGCGCCTGCCTACGCCCCCACTTCCAACCCCGCCGGTGCCGCTGCTCCTGCTGCAGATGGATGGTGTGCAGGACCAACAGTGCGAGCGTCCGGCACTGAGGTGCGCCAGTCCTCTGCTGCCGTTCCAATCATGCCAAACTCCTGCCTTGAGGCCTGGTCAGTCATCTGACCCAATAGCTTGCAAGTTCCCCTAAACGTCTTTTGGTGCCAGCCTCGAGCTGAGGGGTGGGCGAAAACCGCACCACAGCCATGGTCGCATGCGAACACTGCTTCTCGTTGTGATCCGGCCATGAGGATTTCTCAAAAGCTCTGATCACTATACTTTAGCGCCTTTGAATCGGCCTACACGCTTGCCAGTGCCCTCGGATTCGGGCGTTGTTGGTTTGCAGTTTGTTTGCTGAACTTGACCATCATCTAATGGGACGGTATGATAAATTCCCGCCGTCCTACTTAGTCAAATCCTACTGAGCCGTGACATTGATCCAACCAGGGCACTGACTCATCGGACAACGGTGAATCCATGTGCGTCGCCTTGCGCACGCAATGTCATCGTGACCGAGTTCATATATTCACTGTACAATTGAAAGGTGCGTCCTCAATAATTGTGGATTTTTTTGTTGTGCACACGTGGTTGGTGATGTCGCAGGCTTGTCGAAGTGTTTTCGACGAATGGTTGCATGCCGTACTTGTTAGGTCTGACCCATGATATACCAGGCTCGTCATCCAAGTGCGACTTGTCACGTGCTTTCGCCAATAATAGTGGACGCTTTCGTAGGCGCAACATTCATACTAGCACCCAGACCACGACACTGGCCAATCAACATTTACAATGCTGCTGCATAGTGTGACGGCCATGTGGACCACCTGCAGCCTGGGCTGCAGCGCCGCCCTGGCTCCGGCCGCCGCTCTTGGGCTGTCGCGCGTGCTGTCATGTTCACGCGCTGAAGTCGTCGCGGCAAACAACCACCGATCCGGGCCACCGCCATCAGCCTTGTGCCAAATCACACCCCATGCTGCCGGCCCCCAGCAGCAACAGCTTCCCGCGCTGGCACGGCGCACCTTTGCCAAGCCGTTGGGAACGGCAGCCGTGGCTCTTGCAGGGGACGCCAACGGGACTGCGGCTGCGGGTGTGCGGCACACAATGGCACAGATGCTGCGGGCTTGCAATGCATCGCTGGCGCCCGCCCTGCCGCCTCGAGTCAAGGGGATCACGCGGAAAATTGTCATGCGATTGGTGAGCCCAGTAAACCATCATCACGCCCTGCGCAGCAGCTCCTGTGCGGGCCGGCGATGACCGCCCCGAACGAGCCAAGGCGGCGAGACGCGTCGGCCCTTTCGCTTCCTGAGGAACTCTAGTCAACGCACCAACACCCCCTAGTGCCGCGACTTAAGTTGCGCTTACTTCTCTTGATCGCGCCTGCTCACGTCCCCTCCTACTGCAACCCTGACGGACAGATCAACCGCAGCGTCGTCCGCCGGCTAGCACGGCGCGCCACCATCGGCATCCCCTGCCTCGGCCTCCTCTTCCTGACCCGTGTGCTGAGGCGCGACGCCGCCAGCTTCAGGGCCCACTTGGCCAAGGGAGATACTCTGCTAGTGCTGCTCTTCGGCCTAGCGGTCGCAGCCGAAATCTGCGACGTCGTCGCCCAGACTGCAAACATTACCTGCCTCGGCCTCTCCTCCGGCCTCCTCCCAGCCCCCGCCAGCCTGGCGGCCGGGCTGCACGCGCGCCTGGGCCTGGCCGCGCTGCCAGCAGCACTGGCTGCCGCCGACAAGGCGAGCCTGGCCATGGCGGCGTTGTCGTGCGCATCGGGGCTGGCGGCCGAGTTCATTGAGGCGCAGCGCACCGTGGCACTTGCACGCAGCGGTGATGTCCACTGCGCAGGCGGGTGCCCTATCACCCCTTTGCGGGCTCCGAATCGCGGCTAGCCGCTAGGGGTGAGCGCCTCACATGTTTGACAGCCGGGACAGGGTTGGTTGGCAGCGCATTAAAGAGGAATGGCCGCTGCGGATTAATCCCAGGGGCCGCTGCGACATTGCTGCCAGCTGGAATCGCGCCCACTCTGCATTTTTTATACAATCGACAGGCTGGCCGTAGAATGTGCAGGGGGTTTGGGTGGATTCCGGCCACCCTAGTAAAATCCATTCCTGGCCGTAAACGTCAAGCTCAGCAACAAGCACTGTCCTGGATTTCGACCCATCCGCAGCTTATCCATGCACTCATCTCTGACCGTACATGTCACGCTGTGCCACCCCATGGGCACAGCCACTGGTCAATTCACCGACATCGCATCCCCAGACGATCATCGCATGATGCTTTGATGTCGAAGCAGGCTGTGAAGGCCGCAAGCCTGACGGCACCCATACCAACGCCACGCAGGCGCTCTGCTTCTATCTTCTATCTGATTGTGCTGCCTCAGGCAGGCCGTAATGATTGTTGCCTAGCTGCTCGCAATTTTACACATGCACATCCACAAGCGCACGCACAGAAACACATGCAATTGCACCCATGCGCACGTGCGTGCGCGCACACACACGCACACACACACACACACACACGCATGCACACAAAGAAATTTTACACAAGATTTCTTCAAGGTGCTGCTCAGATGGCAAACAACCACCCGCTATTGACCCCAAATCAGGGACAAAACTAAAAAACCAGGCGAGTACAGTCTACACTCAGGCTCACACATTGCATGTTCTGCGACACCCCTTGCAGCTGCCAGACAAGGGAATGCATCGACGATGAAATTTTATGCTGCCATTGCCGTCCCGTGGGCGCAGGATCCCCCCGTAGCCACACTGCATTTGGGTCCCAGTGCACTGTCAAGCAGTCCGTCAAGCGGCCTTGGTGCCAAGGCAGGCTGAACCTCTTCCGCGGCATGCATTGAAGTTCATCTACGTATTTCTAGCCCTCTTTCAGGCAGTCCAGGAAGCGCCACGGAGCACCGGGAGCAGGCAACTTTACAGATCATGTGACGCCGTTTGCTGTTCAAATACTGTGCCCGCTGCATTTGTTTAGACGAGGTATTTAGTATCGCTTACCAGTACCCATGATGTTCTCGTAGACGAGGTGCCACGCCACCTTTCTTGCCCCATCGCCATTGAGGTCGGCATCCTCTGTGTACTACATTGCGTGCGTCGCTTGATTGGCACAGGCTCCTAGCCAATCCGATGCAGCAGGCTGCCGGCGCTCAGCGTGCACTTGCGCGCCGGCCGACAGCAGCGCAGCGGCCGATCTGCTTTGCACGGCAGTCGCAGCGGCAGGCGCGACCCTTGACACAGCGACAACAGTCGCAGCACACGCGGCCATTCATGTATGCAGCGGCATCCTCGGCAGCGGCGCCAGACCCCGCCGAAGGCGGCCCTGCAGCAGCGCCGCTCGGCCTTGATGAGCAGCAGCGAAACACGGCGCCCGACGCCAGCAGCAGCAGCAGCAGCAGCAGTAGCAGCAGCACGGATCCGGTAGCAGGTGCCAGCGCCCTATACGCAGGGTTGGCGGCTGCCCTGGGCGTAGGGGGCCTGCTGCTTGGCCTGCTGGCGCCGCAAGCTGCAGCGCTGTGCCTGCGCCTGGACACAGTCGCGCCGGCGGCGGCGGGCACGCTGGTCGGCTGCTTCGGGGCGGCGCTGCTGCGGGCGGCGGCGGTCTGTTGGAGTATCAAGGTGCGGTGGCGGCTGCGGCTGCACGAAGTCACGCAGCCGAGCCTGGTGCAGCTGCACGCACCGCTTAAACATTGCAATTCTGTTGCTTCGACATTTGCTTTGGCGTCTCCCTTGAACCTGCTGGGGCTGCGCTTGCAGCGCGCGAGGCCCTTTTCCGCCCCTCCTCAAGTGCAACTGACAAGCAGCTGCCAAATCGCCGCCCGCAGGTCGCCAGCGATGCCGGCCAGCTGGCCACGTGGCGCGTGCAGCGGCTCAACGCCGCCCTGGCGCTCGCGGCCGCCGTCGTCGCGCTGCAGCAGCCCCTCGGTGGCTGGGCCGGCGG